GGGCAGGCGGAGCCGTGGCAGGGGGGAGGCCGGGACCTCGGTGTTGGGCCTGCTCGGCCTGGGAGCTGCAGAGGACGAAGTCCAGAATGTTCTGCCCTGGTCCACCGCCAGCTTCTTGCCTTCTCTCCTCTTCCTTCCCCCACAGCCCACACATAACACCATGAATTGTTCTGTTGGGCAGCCAGCAGAAATATCACGTCAGCTTTCTAGCACCTTCTGCGACCCGCTTGCCTCTAGCTGAGCCTCGGGATGGGCCCACGTTCAGGCCCGGGGCCTGGGCACCCAGGTTGGAAGGTCTGTGGGTGGGCACCTGGGGCCTCGGGCAGGTGAGCCAGCCTCCGTGTGTCGGCTTTGGCCTCCTGGCTGGGGTGTTCTCTGCCGTGACCATGGCACCGGCCGGTTGCCCACCCAGCCTCAGTTTCCCTGCCTGGACCATCTCCGGCACCTGGCTGACTGACGCACAGGGCAGTGGTGGCACTGGGGTGGTGGTTGTGGCTGAAAGAGGACACTGGTCACCCACCCCGCCCGCCCAGGCCTGCCCCACATTCAGTGTTTCCTTTTCTCAGTAAGTGTAATTCATACCATAAAATTCACGCGTTGAGGAACACGGTTTAGTTTTTTGTGTATTCCCAATGTCGTGCCACTGTCACCACTGATTCTAGAACATTCTTATCCTGCTAAAGGAAACCCCATTCCCTTTGACAGTCACTCCCCAGTCCGCAGCCTTGTCCACTCCTCGGGACTGGAACCCCGTCTCAGCCCCACCACACCCACGGTCCTCTCTCTAGCCCGACCTCCCCTGAGCTCCAGACTCGGGGTCCGGCTGATCCTGGAGTCTCTGTGCCGGAGGCTCCGGGCGTCTCACACTCAGCTTGGCCACGCTGCACCCGACTGTCCCCACACCTGCTCCTGCCTTGTCCCTCATCTTGGCTGAGGCTGCTCATCCTTTCCGTTAATGGCTTTAGTCATAGTCCTTAGTCATCCTGGATTCCCTGCTTTTCGCTTTGCCTCCAGTGAGGGTAGCCTCTGTCCCAACTTGAGACCTGTCCAGAATCTGCCCACCTCCCCTCTGCCTCCCCCACCCGGTCCAGCCCATCTACTCCTGAAGGACCAGCTCAGTTCCCCACCACCCCCCCCTTCCCCCAGTCCGTCCTCCCCGTAGTGGCAGCCAGAGGGCGCCCACGAGCACCCAAGTCGGATCCCCTCCGTCTGCCCACAGCCCTCCAGGGCTCCCACCTTCCTGTGGGGAAAAGCGCAAGTCCTCCCTTGCTGGCCTGACCCCTCACCCATCACCCAAGCCGAGGCCCTCCACCGTCCTGGTCACCACTTGGCTTCCCGCCAGCCTGACACGTAGACACCCAGCACGTGAGTTTCTGTCGCGGCTAAACAAATCACACGGCCTGATCTAAAACCACACTCTGGAGGTCATGAGTCTAAGATGGGTGTCACGGGGACCAAACCCAGGCATGGGCAGGGCCGGTTCCCCCCGAAGCCCCAGGGAGACCCCTCTCCTGCCTTTTCCGCCTTCCGGAGGTGCCACATCCTAGCCCGCGCGCCCCCCCCCCCCAGCCAGCAGCATGGGGTCTGCCCGTCTCTCTGCCTCCCTCTCATGAGGATCTCGTGGGGACGCTGGGCCCAGGGACCCCGGGTCTCCCCGACCTCAGACCTCACCAGCCTTGGCTTCCTCCCACCTGCAAAGCCCGCCCCGTCTGCAGGAGGCAGGGGTATGTCTGCGGTCCATACTCCCGGCCTGAACAGATAATCCTCAGCAGAAGCCTGCTTTGCAGGTGAGGACGCCAGGGCTCAGAGAGGTCAGTGGTTGGCCTCCCCACAGGGAGCCAGGATTGGAGGGCAGGGCGTTAGGGATAAAAACTGCCTGCTCCCTCACTGTGAGCCTCTCTCCACGGTGAGCACCTCTTTCCCGGGGACAGTGTGAACAGGGGCCAGGGAGCCGTCACTCCAGCCCTGGCCGCCTGGCCGCTTCCCACCGACCCAGCCGGTCACGTGATTTCTCTGTGGCCCGAGGACGTTGGATCTGGTTGAGCCCTGCTTCCGCCGGCAGGGGAAGGCCACAGTTGTCAGTTTGGTCAGCCCTTCGCTGCCAGGGACTTAACGTCTTTGGGGTCAGTGGTGGGTTGACGTCCGCGCCCGTTTCCCAGCCAGGGTACTGTCGTCCCTCCGTAGGGGTGCAGGGAGCTGAGTGAGGTCGGAGACACCTGTGTGCGGGGAAGGCAGGGTGGTGACACGGTGGGGTGGAGGGCCGCCCCCGTCTCCGGGCTGAAGCCTCTCTCTTCTCTCCTGCAGGCTTGGCCCAGAAGAAGATGGCCCCGTCGGAGGTGAGTGTCCTGTGGCCTTCCTGACCCACTTCTCCGAAGACCGACCAGCCCCGGGGCCTGCTGTGCGGCCTGGGGCAGCTGGCCGCACCTCCCCGGGCCCCACGCTCTGGCAGGTGGCAGGCAGTGAAAGTCCCTCGGTCCTGCCGGCATCTTGAGTTTCAGGGAGGGGAGCCGCTGGGGAAGGAAGAGCAAGGACCCGGCCTGGACAGTGAGGGACAGAGGGACGGAGACTGAGGGTCCAGAGGGGTGGGAGGGGAGCCGGGCAAGGGCGGGTCCCTGAGGAGCCCCCAGGAGGAGGGGGGTCCAGTCAGATGCGGCACCGCTGGTGTAGCATCCGTTGTCCCCACACGCCCGCCCACGTCTTCCGTCTTCCGTTCGGGATCCAGAGAGCTCCTGCTCCTGCGGGGGGCGGCCGCTCGCCCGCGCCTTGCACCGTGGGGGGGTCAGCACTGTCCCTGGTCCTGAAAGCGGCCTGTGGGAGCGAGTCTGTGAGCCCCGCATTCCAGGAGCAGCCCAGGCGTGGCGTCCCTGTACCGGCGCTAGCTTCCTGGCCCCAGGCACCTGTGTCCCCCGGGTTGCCACCCGTCACGTGGGGCCCTTGTCAGGAGGGCTCTCCTGGAGGCAGTGGGGAGTCAGCGCGGGGTGCGGAGCAGGGGCGGTGCCCCCGATTTCTGGGGAGAGCCCGCCCCCTGGTGGCCAGTATGCGGAACACGCCGGGGCCTGCTGAGGAGCGAGGGCAGCTGGGGGGCTGCCTGAACCCCCGTGGGGCAGTGGGGGTTGGGCTGATGTGAGTGCTCCCAGCTGGAGGCCAGAGGGTTTCACGGGCTGTTTGGATGGTGCAGGTACACAGTAGATGTTTCTTAAATGTCCGTGAGCGGACAGCCCCCACCGCCCCTCCACCATTCTCCCCTGTGGAGCCGCGCATCAGTGCTGGTGGCTCCCACACAAATTTGTCACGCCTGCCCTGGCTGTCCCCACACAGGTCCCGGGCCAGTGGGACCTCTCCCTGTTTCACAGTCATTCCAGCCCACATGTCTCGGCCCTAAGGGACACTGTGTGATGTCTGGAGACATCTGTGGCTGTCAGGACGCAGTGAGGTTGCTCACTGCTCACAGTGCATGGGACGCCCCATAGGGGACAACCCAGCCCTCCCCCCACCCCCGTCAGCAGGCCCAGGGAGTCCCTGAAGTTAGGGTTCTGCTCCTGAGGAACCGGAAGTCCGGTCTGGGCCTGGGCCCCTCTGGATGTGCAGAGTTGGACCGTGTGGCCCCAGTGGGTGACGGGGCACCTGCTCTGCCCTGGAGCCCGCCCACACCAGACTCTGCCCCACGTGGCTTGCCAGCCAGTGACTCAGCCCTGACTCTGGTCAGGATTTCCAGAGCACTCTGGCCCCAGCGGCGCCTCCTTGCTGATGTTTAATGCTTCCTGCTTCCTCCTCTCCAGGCCCCGTCGATGACTGGACAGCTGGGCCCCGGCCACGGGAAGAAGTTGGGTCATCGGGGCGTGGACGCATCTGGCGAAACCACCTACAAGAAGGTTCCTCCTCTGCCCTCGGCTGGTTGGGGTGGGGCAAAGTGGAGAAGGGCTCCCAGCCATCCGGGGCCCCCCCACACAGGGCCGGGCGGGCTCTGTGCCCACGTGTGGCTGCGGGCAGATCCCCTCGGTGCGGGCCCCTCCGTCCCAGCGAGGCCCTTGCCTGCTGTCGCCATCACAAGCATCGGGCGATGTGCCCGCAGCTGCACCACCACCCGCCCGGCTACAGGAGCCGCCTGCGACCCTGGGCGAGCCCTCAGCTGCTCCGGCCCTGCTGGCTCATCCGGAAAAGGAGAAATGCGGTTCTCCTTCCTTCCCTTGGAAAGCGGGGCTGAGCTGTCACCCCCACCCCTTTCTCCTCAAGTGTGGGCGGCCTCCAGCCCAGGCAGCCTGGGCGACGTAATGCTGGGCGGCCCCGACATGCCCCACCGTGGCTGGGGAAACCGAGGCACGGAGCGGCGGTGTCGCTCACGCAGCGTGACCGTGCACGTCACCGGGAGAGTAGGTAGCAGGAACCCTGCCGAATCGGGACAGTTTTGAGAACTTGGAACCTTCTAGAACCTTGATGGAAAACAGGCCTCGGGGCTGCGTGAGGTGATATTGGGGTCCCAGCCAGGCCACCTTGCCGTGGGGTTGTGTGAGCTGAACGGCAGCCCAGAGGCCAGCGGGTCTGGGACGAGTGGTGGGCAGGTACCCCGGGGCCCCGTGCGTGATGGGTGCCAGGGTCAAGCTGCGAGCTGGACATCTGGCTCGTCCTGCTGCCCCGAGGGGCTTCTCGTTTTGCCTCCCCGCCCTGGCGGCCGAGGGTCTTGATCCAGCTGGGTTTCCCCACAGACCACGTCCTCCACCCTGAAGGGGGCCATCCAGCTGGGCATCGGCTACACCGTGGGCAACCTGAGCTCCAAGCCAGAGCGTGACGTGCTCATGCAGGACTTCTACGTCGTGGAGAGCATCTTCTTCCCCAGGTGGGCCCGGGCCCTGCGCCATGGAGACTGGCCCCGATGCCCGTAGCAGCTCACCCAGCACGCAGACACCGTTGGGATGCAAACAGCCTTGCTGTTCTCTGAGCTCCCTTCTCTGCTGGAAATAGCACGGGCCTCTCCCGGCACCTTCTTGGCTTTGAGGCCTCACCCTGTACCGGTCGTGATGTTAGTTTGCTGCCGAATCAGAGGGCTGCAGTACAACAGTGATTTTAAGAAACAGGAGAAGAAAACATAAAGTTCACTTTTCTCTCACATGGAAAATAGTGACAGGCAATCCAGGGCCATCAGGCAGCTCCCCGGTGTTGGGGTCCCGCGTTTTTCTGGCCGTTCCACCGTCCTTGTGTGCAGCTTTTGCAGCCAGGGGTTTCAGGTAGCTGCCCGAGATCCTGCCATCACGTCTGCATTCCACTAGCAGAAGGAAGAGAGCACATGCCCCTCCCCAGACAGAGCAGCACCAAGAAATGATGGTTTCTGCTCTGCTCATAGCCCATTGGCCGACCACGGTCACATGACCAGAGCTAGCTGCAGGAGAGGCTGGGCAGTGGGCTTCCTCTGGGCGGCCATGTGCCCAGCAAGCACTGGGAACGGATGTTGGGACATGGCCCTCTGTCCCCTGGGGAGTCCCATGCCACCGTCTGAGTTGGCCGTCCGGAGAAGGCCTTGGAGCTCAGCGGCCAGGGCGCCGCCCAGGCCTGGGACGTCTGCGCCACCGGCGAGTTGGGGAGGCACCCACGAGGCCGCCGTCCCTCACAGGCCCCCTCCCTCCTTGCTCCACAGTGAAGGCAGCAACCTCACCCCCGCCCACCACTTCCAGGACTTCAGGTTCAAGACCTACGCACCTGTTGCCTTCCGCTACTTCCGGGAACTCTTCGGGATCCGACCGGATGATTACTTGGTAAGAGCGTCAGTCAGCTGCTGCTGCGTAACAAGCTGTGGCAGACCGGCGGCCCACAGCGCCACCTGTCTGTCCCTTGTGGTTTCTGTGGGTCAGGACTTCGGGTGCAACTCAGCCGGGTTCTTTGCTCAGGGTTGTGCTGGAGGGTGGGCTGGGGCTAGAGCCTCGTGGGGCACCGGACTGGGGGAGGGTCTGCTTCCAGCTCCACGGTGACATTGGCGGGACCCCCTCCTCGCCCATCGGCTGGGGCTTCCGTTCCATCCCTGCGGGCCTCTTGGTCAGAGCGTGAGCGACAGGAGTGTCCTGTCCCCTTTGCCACGTCTGTGGGTTAGAGGCGCGTCACATGTCAAGCCTCCCTTCGGGAGGAGGTGGGTCGTGGGGACCAGTTCAGAACGTCCCCTCAGTTCTGGTGTGGTTTTAGTCTCTCAAATTAGAATAATCTTGGAGCGTCTGGGGGGTTCAGTTGGTTAAATGTCGACTCTTGATCTCGGCTCAGGTCACGATCTCATGGTTCATGGGTCCGAGCCCCATGTCGGGCTCCATGCTTGAGCGCACTGAGTCTGCTTGGGATCCTCTCTCTCTCCCTCTCTCTCTGCCCCTGCACTGCTTTCTGTCTCTCTCTGTCTCTCTCTCTCTCAAAACAAATAAATAAACATTTAGAAAAATCAGAACCTAGGCCCTACCCTTTGATCTCACAGTGAACGATCAGGACTCCTGAAAGTTACAGCTCGCCTGCACACGGGGCTCGTCACCTGGGTGGGTCAGTCTGCACTTGGGGAAGGTCTGGCGGGTCTGTTTCGAGTTCGCCCGGTCACCGGTTTGCGACTTTGTGTTCGGGAAGCCTTACTCCCTGGGCAAGAGCGTGTCCGTGACCGTTGGATATACTCTGTGTAATCCTTCCACCGTCTGCTGTCCCTGGGGCTCGGCCTGTGGGCCTGCTGGCTCTCACCTGCAGTGACTCGTCTCCCTGCGTGTCGGGAGGTACTTGGCCTCACTCTCCCCTGGGTTCTTAGTCTGCGGGAAAGCTGTGCCCTCAGCCGCGGCCGTGTCCCTGCAGAGAGAGCAGCATTTGCTCCGGCCGTGGGCACGTCCGGGCGCCCAGAAGTCACAGTGCCCCTTGCCAGGGCCAAGGCCTGGTCCTCTGACCACAGCATCCGTGTCGTGTTCCCCCTCTGGCCTCCACCGCAGCCCCGTAACGACGTTCCCTTTGGTCCCGCAGCCTCCTCGGAGTGAAGCCAGCCTGGTGGTTCCGTAGTAGAGATGACCTGGGTGACCTCGGTTTTAGGTCTCGGGAGGGAAAGGGGACACCTGTGGCGCTCGCCGTGGCAGTGGTGATGCGGCCTCTGTGTGCTGGTGGGGAGCGGACCCAAGCTGGTCCTGGCGGCGGAGTGGACACAGGGCGACGGCCGAGGGCCTGTCTCGGCCTTGAGTGGGTGCTCAGCAGGTGTCCTCTGTCCTCTTTAAGACCTGCCCTGTTTGCAGCGACAGGGTGGCCAGGGCCCCTGGATC